TTTTTGTAGATTCTGTGCATTTCTGCTTGACGCCTTAAAGCAGAGATCCACTCAAAAGCGGAAGCGCCACTTATCTGCCGCCTCCCCCCTCCACTGCCATATTTGGCAACTTTTGGGGGGGAGGGGGGGGGGAGCGGATACCCGTTTTTGACAGGTACTCGCTCCCACTTCCGGCTCAATTTGCAGTGGCGAAGTGAGCCAGAAGTTTGGACCCATCCTCCCTCCCGCAGTCTCCTGGGAACTTTCACAGGTCCAAGGAGACTGCCGAACCAATTAGGAGTTGTAACGCGACCAGGGGCGGACTGACCATTTGGAAACTCGGGCACTGCCCGAGGGCCCGGGGTCAGTAGGTGGACCCATGAGATGCCCCTGGTACCTTTTTCATAGGCTTTTTTGAGTTTGGGCAAGGACACAGGGGCCCCATGATCCCCTATTGCCCGGGGGGGCCCCATGAGTTGTCAGTCCACCCCTGAGCGTGACTCATGCATTTGCAGTGGGCACCAGGCTGTGAAGCCACAAGCTGTCACTGCCTGGTGCCCACAGTTGACATGCCAACGTCATGGAGGAGAGAAGAGATGGTGCGGGTGAGAACATCACTGGATTCTGGGATAGGTAAGTGTGTGTTTATTAAAAGTCAGCACCTTCAGTTTTTGTATCTGCTGACTTTTAAGAAACACAAAAATGGCTGGAACTCTACTTTAATAGCAGCCCATTCATTATAATGGACTTATCTATGCTTAAAGTGGTTCTAAAGTCTCAAGGTTTTTCACCTTCATGTATTCTATGCATGAAGGTAAAAACCCTTCTGTGTGAAGCGCACCCCCAATCCTTACCTGAGCCCGCTCCGGTCCAGCCACGTTCTCAACAGCCTTTGCTGTCTGGGGACTCTTCCTCCTCATTGGCTCAGACAACAGTGGGAGCCCATTGGCCATGAACCTGGTTTTGTTATTTTATTTAGGGGAATTCAACTTAGTATAGAGAAATAAGGATTAGGGGATGCCCAGTTTGACTTGAAACAATGGAAGGGGAACACTTCCTTCCTATGTACAAAGCAGATCCAGGACTGTTCTTTTCCTGAAAGCCATCAATGCAGATCAGTAGCAGCTGCCCCTTACGGACAAGGAACTAGCAACCCCTCAAAAATCACTTTACTTTCTGTAGCTACATGCAGAGATGTCTTCTCTCCTCCTACAAAGCTGCTCCCATCTGCCCGGCCTACAGAAACTAACAGCCCTCCAGGCTGCTCGGAAGATTTCCTGGATCAAGGATAAAAGGATTTAGCTCAATGTTGTCCTTGGAAGCTTGCTACGTGTGGCAGTCTTTCCACTTGCGGATCCCAAAGTGTGCTGCTGTACTCATGCTGTCCTCTTTGCTCTCTGCTGCTCCAGGTCTGATCCAATCCATGCCTCACTGCAGAATGTATTCTCCTGAGCCAGCCTGAGCCCAGCCTAGAGGCTGCCCCCCCCTGACCTGGGGGACCCCTCCTAGACTCCGAAAGTCTGCTCAGCACTCCATCTTCCACCCTCCTGTACACCACTCTGACAGGGCCTCCAAGCCTGGGATTGGCTGGACCCCCATAAATATGCAGATTTGGCCTCCACCCCTCCTTCTTACCTCTGGAAGGTTCTATGGTCCTCCAGAGTCAGGAGGAGGCAATAGAGCCACAGCCTGTAGAGTTGTCCAGCTGACCTGCAATAAATCACATGACTCATACAACTACCATAAGTCACACAATGATTTTACCTATCATTCACTACACTATTCTAGTAGCTCACTAGAGGGTGCTACACTTGTAATTGTCAACCTTGCAATGCTTCATGGGATTTGTAGTTCCGCAACAGCTGGAGGGCCACAGTGTGACACCCCTGCCCCAAGCGAACAGTTTCTGGTGGAATTGCTAGAAATCTAGACTGCTCGTTGTGAACCAGTAGTGTCTCTTCCAAAGGGAGTACATCTACCAAATCCACAGGGTACTACTGCACATTTAAGTACACTATATTGCCAAAAGTATTGGGCCAGCCCTCAAAACTCATTGGATTCAGGTGTTCCAATCACCTCCATGGCCACAGGTGCATAAAATTAAGCCCCTAGGCATGCAAACTGCTTCTACAAACATTAGTGGATGAATGGGTCGCTCTATGGGAGCTCATTGGATTCAATGATAGTACCGTGATAGGTTACCACCCATGCAATAAGTCCATCCGTGACATTTCCTGGCTACTAAATATTCCACGGTCAACTGTTAGTGGGATTATAGCAAAGTGGAAGCAACTGGGAACAACAGCAAACCAGCCACGAAGTGGTAGGCCATGTAAACTGACATAGCTAAAGATGGGCTTCAGATTAACAACAGTGCATAGAGAGCTTCATGGAATGGGTTTCATGGATGGACTTATTGCACAGGTGACAACCTATCACGGGACCACGCTTGAATTCACTGAGCTCCTGAGAGAGACCCATTCTTTCACAAATGTTTGTAGAAGCAGTCTGCATGCCTAGGTTATGATTTTATACACCTGTGGCCATGGAGGTGATTGGAACACCTGAATCCAATGATTTTGAGGGGTGTCCCAATACTTTTGGCAATATAGTGTATCCAGCCTTTCGGCGTTAAGGCCCACCCACCGAGAAGCCGCATGTATGGTGGAAGAGGCTAAATATAATAACTCAGAGAAAAAAGAATAGGACTTGCCAAGGAAGAGATTTATAAGAGAATTTTGACTGGGAAAAGGCTGTAAAAGTTCAATTTACATTTGATATATTTCAAGTGTTACCAAATTCTTTCCAGAGAGGACACAGGCAAAAACAAAATTGGAATATTTGTAGAATGGAGAGGGGTTAGAACATCTGACAATACTTTTATTGCTGTCTGTACCTTTCTGTCCTAGCGACCCCCCCCCCCCCCCATCTCTTGTATGGGCGTCACAGGTTCAAGGAGTGAGGGAAAATCTCTGCCAATACAGTCACAGACAGAAATACTAGTGTACCAGAAATGAAAAAACTGCAGGTAACTAAAAAATTATCCCTTGCAGTGGGTCTGCCAGGGTTAATAACTCCTTTTGTCCAGGGGAGAGGAGAAACAGTATTACTTACCTGATCCTCTGATCCCCCAGCAGATGGTGTTCCCCCACACTCTGATGGTGGACTGTCCCTTGGGATCCTCACATCTAATGCAGGTCTATGGACCCTGCTTGGGTCTTGATGATGTCAGAACCCTAGAGAGCTGGAGCATGGGAGCAAAGAAGCTGTGGGCACTGGTCTAGCTCCAAGGAGAGGTGAAGGATTTTGTTTGTTCCCCTAGACCAGGGTTCTCCAAACTTTGTAAACAAAGGGCTAGTTTGCTGTTCTTCAGGCTTTAGGGGGGCCAAACTGTGGCCAATCAGAGTAGAAAATGCCCCATATCAACATCAGGGGCAGTTAACAATGCCCCATTGATGGTTTCAGTGGGAGGAATAGTGCCCCATTAATGGTGTCAGTGGTACGTATATTACCGCATTGCTGGTATCAGTGAGAGGAATAGTGCCCCGTCGTTGGTGTCAGTGGGAGGCATGGTGCCCCATAATTCATATCAGTGGGAGGAATAGTACCCTATCATTGGTGCCAGTGGGAGGAATAGTGTTCCATCATTGGTGTCAGTGAAAGAAATAGTGCTTTATCATTGGTATCAGTGAAAGAAATAGTGCTCCATCATTGGTGTCAGTGAAAGAAATAGGGCCCCATCATTGATGTCAGTGGGAAGAATAATGCCCCATCATTGGTATCAGTGGGAAGAATAGTGCCCCATCATTGGTGTCAGTGGGAAGAATAGTGCCCCATCATTGGTATCAGTAGGAGGAATAGTGCCCCATCATTGGTATCAGTGGGAGGAATAGTGCCCCATCATTGGTGTCAGTGGGAGGAATAGTGCCCCATCATTGGTAACAGCAGGAGGAATAGCGCCCCATCATTGGTATCAGTGGGAAGAATAGTGCCCCATCATTGGTATCAGTGGGAGGAATAGCGCCCCATCATTGGTATCAGTGGGAAGAATAGTGCCCCATCATTGGTATCAGTGGGAGGAATAGTGTCCCATCATTGGTATTAGTGGGAGGAATAGTGCCCCATCACTGGTATCAGTGGGAGGAATAGTGCCCCACCATTGGTATCAGTGAGAGGAATAGTGCCCTATCATTGGTGTTAGTGGGAGGAATAGTTCCCCATTGGTGGTGTCAGTGGGAGGAATAGCGCCCCATCATTGGTATCAGTGGGAGGAATAGCGCCCCATCATTGGTATCAGTGGGAGGAATAGTGCCCCATCATTGGTATCAGTGGGAAGAATAGTGCCCCATCATTGGTATCAGTGGGAAGAATAGTGCCCTATCATTGGTGTCAGTGGGAGGAATAGTGCCCCACCATTGGTATCAGTGAGAGGAATAGTGCCCTATCATTGGTGTTAGTGGGAGGAATAGTTCCCCATTGGTGGTGTCAGTGGGAGGAATAGTGCCCCATCATTGGTATCAGTGGGAAGAATAGTGTCCCATCATTGGTATCAGTGAGAGGAATAGCGCCCCATCATTGGTATCAGTGGGAAGAATAGTGTCCCATCATTGGTGTTAGTGGGAGGAATAGTTCCCCATTGGTGGTGTCAGTGGGAGGAATAGTGTCCCATCATTGGTATCAGTGGGAGGAATAGTGCTGCATCATTGGTGTCAGAGGGAGGAATATTGCCCCATCATTGGTATCAGTGGGAGGAATAGTGCCCTATCATTGGTGTCAGTGGCAGGAATAGTTCCCCATTGTTGGTGTCAGTGGGAGGAATAGTGCTCCATCATTGGTGACAGTGAAAGAAATAGTGCTTCATCACTGGTATCAGGCAGGCAAAGGGCCCCCAGGCCATAGTTTGGAGATCACTGCCCTAGACTAAAATGAGCAATTAACCCTTTTTTAGTTGCTCAGAGTTGGGCTTTAACTGTTCCCCAGTCTATCCATATGTTAAATGAAATGCCTGGCGTTAGGCTTTAATCTTCCTGTTGCATTTGTTTTTAGATGCCTCACCAATTCTGCCAGAAAAGCAAGCCAAACAGATTCTGCGAACAAAGCGCTCGGAAAGAGAACGGAAAGCTGGACACCCTGATGAACCAATGAGGGTAATTTTAATAACAGAGCTTTTTTTTATCATTGCAGATTTCTTATACATAGTCCCCGGAACCTAATATCTCAAAATCCTGACCTGTCCTTTCACCATTTAATAACTACCTTGATTTATTTCATTGATCACAAATCTCTTTTTAGAACATTCAGCATGCAATGGAAAATAGCACTGTGCTTAAAGTATAACTAAAGGCAAACTTTTTTTCAAGTTTTGGAAAGAGTGGAGAGGGGATTAGAATATCTGTCAAGTTTTTATTGCTGTCTGTGTCCCGTCACCCTCTCTATGTGCTTTACTGTTATCACCGAAAGTGAAAGAAAATTCCAAATTCTGGGTTGCCACAAGAACAGGAATACAGGGGAAATCTTTCAATGGGGACATTAGTTCTGGTAATTTCCTCACTTTGGAGGGATTTCCTTTCACATCCTTGTTTGGCTATGGGGCAGGAAGTTAAAGGAATCCCCCTCAATGGGATGAGATGAAAAAAAAAAACTGACAGTGAATACAGGGGCATCCCTAGGGTTTGTGTCACCCGGTGCAACAACACTTGGTGACACCCCCTCCGATGATCCCCGCAGAATGGATCGGATTTGCGGATTGAGCATAATGGATTGGAGTCCGATCCATTATGCTCCCCAATCCGCAGATCTGATCCATCCTGCGGGGATCGTCAGCTTTCTTTACAACTTACCTTTTCGTGGAGCGGGTTCGGTGTCACCCCGTATAGGTTGCATGCTGACGATCCCCGCAGGATGGTTTGGATCTGCGGATCGAGCATAATGGATTGGAGTCCGATCCATTATGCTCCTCAATCCGCAGATCTGATCCATCCTGCGGGGATCGTCAGCTTTCTTTACAACTTAACACTTGGTGACACCCCCTCTGATGATCCCTGCAGAATGGATCAGATCTGCGGATTGAGCATAATGGATCGGACTCTGATCCATTATGCTCCCCAATTCGCAGATCTGATCCGTCCTGCGGGGATCGTCAGATTTCTTTACAACTTACTTTTTCGTGGAGGGGGTCAGGTGTCACCCCGTATAGGTTGCATGCCGATGATCCCTGCAGGATGGTTTGGATCTACGTATTTAGCACAATGGATCGAAGTCCGATCCATTATGCTCCCCAATTCGCAGATCCAATCCATCCTGCGGGGATCGTCGGCATGCAACCTATATGGGGTGACACTGGACCTGGTCCAAGAAAAGGTAAGTTGTAAAGAAAGCCGACGATCCCTGCAGGATGGATCGGATCCATCCTGCTTGGATCGTCGGCTTGCTTTACAACTTACCTTTTTGTGGAGCGGGTCCGGTGTCACCCCTTGCAGTAGGTGTCTCCCAGTGCGGGCCACACCCCCTGACCCTGCCTGGGGACACCACTGAGTGAATATAACCCTCCCTTACTCTATCCATAATGAAAAAAAAAGTTTTGCTTTTAACTCTGCTTTAAGGCTGGATTTATACTTCCTAGCATTTTTATACTCATTATCCAACATAGTACATTTTATATATTGTCATCAACAGGCCCTGCAATGCATTTTGATGCAGAAAAAAACCCCCAAAAAACCAAATCAATGTAATAAAACAGAACACAATGTAAAGCTTATTTATAGCCTAAATTATTATTTTTTCATTGCTCAGAGAAAGGTTAAAACCTCTGCTGAGTTATTTATTTTAATTTATTAAATTTTTTTGCTGTCTGTGTATCACTGGGGACATTTTCCTGTACTTCCTGTTCCAAAGAGGCAACAGGAAGTTAGAGGAGTTTCGAAAAATAAAGGGGAATCGCCCTCCTAAACAATAGTCTCCAAAACCGCGGTCTCCATTGGAAGAGTTCCACTTACCTCTTGTTCTGGGACATCTCTAAAATTTTGGATTTCCCCTCAGTCTCTTTCTTGGTGACACTTCTGAAAATGCTAGTTGCTTGACTGTCATTCTGACCCTTTTGCTTCAATATCTGAAGTCACCGAACCAAACACAGTCCACCGATAAAGAACTCTGACTTTTGCATAGCATTCCTGTTCTACATATTCCTTCTAGGTCTGTGAGTCAGAAGCATTGATGCCAGAGGATCAGAATAACAGCCGGTCAGATAGCATTTCTAGAAGAAGATTTGCAATGGCAACCCTCATATTTCTATCACTACAGCATTCCAGTAACACTTTCACCCAAGCCCACTAGATGGCAGTACAGATTTACAATTCAACTTTCTATTGTATATTTCCACTAGGACTAGGTCATGGTAACATTGTAACAGATTTGTAACAACTGTAAAAAAAATTGTCTTCTCTCTGGCGAATTGTAGCTGACTACAGAATTTGTGTGGCAGGAGCTGTCTGTACGACCGGGTTCACACAGGTACACTGCAGTTTGGATGCAGTGCGATTGTATCTGCACTCTCATTGATTTCTAATGGACTGTGTATTTTCTGAAAGCGCATCAAAGATGTAGCATGCAGGACTTTGATGATCTCTTACGAATATGTGTGCTCTAATAGAAGTCAATGGGAGTGCACCTACGACCAGGGGAGGACTGACAACTCATGGGGCCCCCGGGCAATAGGGGATCATAGGGCCCCTGTGTCCTCACTCACACTCAAACCACACCCAAAAAAAGCCTATGAAAGGTACTAGGGGCATCTCATGGGGCCCCCTACTGACCCTGGGCCCTCGGGCAGTGCCCGAGTGCCCAAATGGTCAGTCCGCCCCTGCCTATGACCGCATGTAAAATGCACATAAATTGCGCTGCACCCAAACCGCAGTGCACTGGTGTGAATTCCGCTCTAAGGGCTCATTTAGAGCTCAGATTGCCAGTCCTCTGAAAAGTGATAATGTTGATAGCCAGGCCCCCTTCAACATCTTCTCATCCCACTGAAGTGCAAACATTACATACAGTTGCAAGAAAAAGTATGTGAACCCCTTGGGATTACGTGGAGTTTTGCATGAATTGGGCATAAAATGTGCTCTGAACGTCATCTAAGTCACAACAATAGAAGAACACAGTCTGCTGAACATAATACTACACAAACATTAGATGTTTCCATGGTTTAATTGCACATAACATGTAAACATTCATAGTGCAGGGAGGAAAAAGTATGTGAACCATTGGACTTAATAACTGGTTGACCCTCCTTTGGCAGCAATAACCTCAACCAAACGTTTCCTGTAGTTGCAGATCAGACCTGTATAACGATCTGGAGTAATTTTGGACCACTCCTCTTCACAAAACTGTTTCAGTGTAGCAATATTCTTGGGATGTCTGGTGTGAATCGCTCTCTTAAGGTCATGCCACAGCATTTAAATCGGGTTGAGGTCAGTACTCTGACTGGGCCACTCCAGAAGGCGTATTCTGTGCTGTTGCAGCCATTGTTTTGTTGAATTACTTGTATGCTTTGGGTCATTGTCCTGTTGCATCACCCATCCTCTGTGGAGCTTCAGTTGGCGGACAGATGGTCGTACGTTTTCCTGCAAAATGTCTTGATAAACTCTGGAATTCATTTTCCCATCAATGACAACAATCCGTCCAGGCCCTGAGGCAGCAAAGCAGCCCCAAACCATGATGCTCCCTCCGCCACGTTTTACAGTGGGGATGAGGTTTTGATGTTGGTGTGCTGTTCCTTTTTTTCTCCACACATAGTGTTGTGTGTTCTTCCCAAACAACTCAATCTTGGTTTCATCTGTCCACAGTATATTTTGCCAGTAGTGCTGTGGAACATCCAGGTGCTCTTTTGCAAACTTCAAACGTGCTGCAATATTCTTTTTGGACAGCAATGGCTTCCTCCGTGGTGTCCTCCCATGTATTCCATTCTTGTTTAATGTTTTCCTTATTGTAGATGTGTCAACAAAAATGTTAGCATGTGCCAGAGATTTCTGTAGGTCTTTAGCTGACACTCTGGGATTCTTCTTTACCTCATGCAGCATTCTGCGCTGTGCTCTTGCAGTCATTTTTACAGGACGACCACGCCTAGGGAGAGTAGCAACAGTGCTAAACTTTCTCCATTTGTAGACAGTCTGTCTTACCGTGGACACATGAACATCAAGGCTTTTGGAGATACTTTTGTAACCCTTTCCAGCTTCATGCAAGTCAACAATTCTTGATCGTAGGTCTTCTGAGAGCTCTTTTCTGTGAGGCATGGTTCACATCAGACAGTGGTTCTTGAAACCAGTAAACCCAAAACAGGTGTGTGTTTTTTTTAAGGGCAGGACAGCTGTCAGCAACACATCCAATATCATCACACTGATTGGAGTCAAGGTTGGCTCACTCCTGGCTCCAGTTAGCTCTGGGAGAAGTCATTAAGCTAGGGCCTCACATACTTTTTCCTCCCTGAACTGTGAATGTTTACATGTTATGTGCAATTAAACCATGGCAACATCTAATGTTTGAGTAGTATTATGTTTAGCAGACTGTGTTCTTCTATTGTTGTGACTTAGATGACGTTCAGAGCACATTTTATGCCCAATTCATGCAAAACTCCACGTAATCCCAAGGGGTTCACATACTTTTTCTTGCAACTGTAAGAGTGACAACTCTGCTCTGAATTCAGGAGCAGTGCAGCATCATTGCCAACCCATCAAAGCATTAAGTAGACTTCACTGCCAGGATCAAAGGTATTTGTGGGACAGAGAAAAAACTGATTCCTTTAGCCAAACTATACAGATGGATGAATCTCCCTCTGCAGCTATTGTACATTGACAGCCTGCCCTGCTGGCTGTCAAAATACCTGAACAGTGGCTGCATCTTATTGGATGCAGATGCTGTTCAGTCGTCCTTCAATTTTTCAATCATAGAATGTCAGGGGGTCAGCAGGGCCAATCCCTAAGTGTAATTTCGCCCAGTTCATCAGGAGGCGGTGAGAGTTCATATGGTGTATAGCCAGCTTAAAGCAGAGTTCCATTCACTCTGTAAAAAAAATAAAACTGTAGCTGCTAACTTTTACAAAATAGCCACTTACCTGTCCCACGATCCCAAGGTGCCCCCGCCGCAGCCGTTTCACCGG